ATACACTTTGCTGCGTGGCTGCCACAATGGAAAAAAATGTAGTGGTAAAGTATACCCCTGTATCACTTCAGCTTGCTGCACATTTGCCATTATCTTGTCTTATATCATAGGATAAAAAATATCAGCAGCATTGATCCAGAGGTTAGTGTTTATATCCCAGAAATTCCGAGCTTTTCTCTTATTCAGGGTTAAACCTCCAGTATCTAAAGTGTGCAGCACTTGCAGCTGTGATTCTTTGGTGGAACTCAATAGGTTTCTCATTTCCCTTTCCTCACTGCTCTGAGAGGGGCCACACTGTCTTCCCTCAGTCCCTGTTCAGGCACCAGTTGTGTGGGCTCTCTCATCCAGTGAGGAGGTCCACAGAACAGGGTGAGGAGATTGTGACTGCAGAGTCACTAATCCAGACCTCCAGAGACCAAGCAGGAAGCAGGTCTGATTTTATTGTGCAGTTATTATATATATACACACACACTCAGGCAGTAGAAAAGCAAATTACAGACAGCCACCAATACAATTTCTTGCTAACTGTCCTTGCAGTGACCTGTCAAGGAGCAGGCCGCAGAGCAAGCACATGGACTGCACCACATGGCCTCACACCCAAAGTTGTGCCTACTAGGTAATTGGCCTGCCACTCATGTACCTAGCATAAGGGGAGTGGCCTGCCATTCAGACGCCCTTAATGTATGCCATGTATGCAGTACTCCATGCCTTGTCCTCATACCAATTATCCCACTCTTTGGCATATATCTAAAGGATTTTAAGTCAGCATACTGCAGTTATGCAGCCACATCAACGTTTATAGCAGCACAATTTACAATAGCTAAGCTATGGAACCAACCTAGTTGCCCATCAACAGATGAATAAAGAAATTGTATTATATACACACTATGGAATATTACTCAACCATTATAGCATTTGCCAATAAATGGATGGAAATGGAGGCCGTCATGCTAAGTGAAATAAGCCAATCCCCCCAAACCAGATGTCAAATGTTTTCACTGATATGTGGAGGCTAAACCACAATAAAAGAGAGGAGGGGTAAAAAAGAAGTTCAGTAGATTAGACAAAGGAGAGTGAAGGGAATAGGAATAGGAAAGACAGTAGAATAAATCAAACTTGTAGACATGAAAATACCTGTGAATCACACCATTATGTCCACCTACAAGAATGGGGTCCTAACTATAACAAGATATATTCCATATTTGTATAATTTTACCAAAATGGATTCTGCTATAATGTAAAACTAAGAACAACCAATACAAATTGTATCATATCCATACAATAGAAGTCCTATTTTATTACTCTCTTCTTGTGTCAGTAAGATATATTTTCCTCCAGAAGAATATGCCAGTCTATCTTACATGGGAAAAAAATAAAGGTGCAGTGGTAACTAGGCAGACTTAAACCACCACTACCACCACCACCAACAACAATAACAACAACAACAACAATACTTTCACACATTAATGACCAATTTAATCAAACTAAAAGCCTGCATGCTGAAACTCTGTACCATTCACCCTAATGGTATTCATATTCCCATTTAGATCCCTTTCACACTATACCAGGGGTGATCTGTAATCTGTATGACAATTGAAAACAGCAGAAACAAAGATATGTTATTTCCAAAATTAGATAATAGAAGACATTGTAATATCTTTTTTCCCTTCACATCTCTGTCTCTCTGTATCTTTTTGTTTCTCTTTGTATCTCTATCTTATCTCTCTCATCTCATCTCTTGTTCAGTGGGAAGCCAGATGCCATATCATGGGTCACACAGTAGTGAAGAAACCCACTTGGTGAGGAACTGAGGCCTCAAATCCAGCCCCAGCTAAGCCTTCAGATGACTAGCAAACAGAGCAATTCTATATTGCTTAGGAGATAATTATAAGGAAAATGAAACAATAACTAGACCTAAGAGACAATTTACAGGAAGGAAAAAATATTTGCAAAGTATATATCTGATAAAGGGTTAATATTTAGAATTCATTAGGAGCTGAAATGATTTCATAGCATAAAACAAATAATTCTATTTATAAATAGGACCAAGAAAGGTGGGGCATGCCTGTAATCCCAGTAGCTCAGGAGGCTGAAGAAGGAGGATCATAAATCCAAAGCCAGACTCAGCAACTTAGTGAGGCCCTAAGTAACTTAGCAAAACTCTGTATCTAAATAAAATATAAAAAGGACTGGGGATGTGGCTTATGGTTCAGTATTTGAGCACTACTGGGTTGAATACCAATACAAAAAAAAAGAAAGAAAGAAAATAGGCTAAATACCTGAATAAACATTTCTTAAAAGAATTAAAAATGACCAACAGATACATGAAAAAAAAAAGTTCATATCAGTAACCACTGGGAGAATGTAAATCTAAACTATAGTGAGGTATCAGTTCACTCTAGTAAGAATGGCTATCTTCAGAAGTTCAATAGATTAGACAAAGGGGAATGAAGGGAAGGGAGGGGACATAGGAAAAAGAAAGACAGTAGAATGAATATGATGTAATTTTTCTATCTACTATGTCAATCTCACCATCGTGTACATTCACAAGGATAAGGTCCCAATTAGAATAAGATATATTCCATGTTTGTATAATTACATCAAAATGGATTCTACTGTCCTGTATAACTAAAAAACATTGTCGTATGTAATGTCACTCAGCATTTTACACTGCTGTTTTGTTGAACCCTTCTATTTTTACAAGTTAAAAATACAAAAAAAGGGCTATTTTCAAAAAGACTAAAGATAACAAATGCTGGCAAGGATTTGTAGAAAAAGGAACTCTTTTTTCAGTTTTATTTAAAATTTTGTCTTAATTATTAACATTAATAGTACAAATAATTGGTTTCACTGTGACATTTCTATGAATAGATCGTGGTTTAATCACATTCAACCTCCCTTATACTCTCTCTGGCCCTCCCCTTCCCCCAATTCCTTGGTCTCTCCTTTCCCATTAGTCTCTGAAAGAGAAACACTTATACATGGTAGGTGAAAATGTAAATTAGTACAATCATTAGTATAGTCATTATGGATTATAGAGTGCAGAGGTTTTCCCCAAAATTAAAAATAGAACTACAATACAATCCAATAATACCACTACTGAGCATATGCCCCCCCCCAAATAAAATGAAGTCAATAAATTGAAGAGACACCACATTTATTGTAGCACTATTCACAGGAGCCAGGATATGGAATCAACTTAGGTGTCCCTTGATACATGAATGGAGAAAGAGAATGTGATACATATACACAATGGAACAATCCTCAGCCATTAAAATCAGGAAATTCTAACTTTTGCAACAACATGGATGAACTTGAAGGACATTATGTTAAGTAAATCAAACACAGAAAGACAAACACTGCATAATCATCTTCATGTGGAATCTAAAAGGGTAAATCTCATTCCTATGCTAGGAAGTGAAAACAGGTAATAATTGGCAATTTCATTTTTTTTAAATTGATGGGATTGATTTAAAATAGGGAGAATGAAAAAGAATATACAAATGAAGAATTATTCTGGACCAATAGAAGAGAATTATCCAGTGATGAGGAAAGTTAGAGATATTTATATTGAAAAGACTCAATAGATGGCCAGAGAGTAATGGGACAGGGGAGAAATTATCACCAAATAAATATCTATGAGAAAAATGCCTATAAAAAGACATTGTGTTAGTTTTGTATTATTATAACAAAAATACCTGGGATAATTAATTTTTTAAAAAAGGAAAGTTTTATTTTGGCTCAAATTTTGAAGGTTATAGTCAGTCTATGGTAGGTTGACCCTGTATCTTTTGGGCCTGTTTTTAGGTAATATATCAAGGCAAGAGTGTGTGGTAGATGAAGCTAATTACTCCATGGGATCCAGGAAGCAAAACAAACAAAACAGGAAGGAGTCAGGGTTCCAATATATCCACTTCAAGGACATGTCTCAGTGATTTCACTTCCTTCCACTGGGCCTCACCTTAAAGATTATGGGCTTTAATAGTGTTAAAGGCTGAGGAGCAAATTTTTAGCATACGGGCTTGGGGAGGAGCTTGGAACTGAATTATAGCAGATATGAATTATACTGGCATCTCATTTCCTATCAGCATGTTATATAAAAGATAACAGCATAGCAGTACCCTTAATTTCTTCGGTGGTTAAGAGTTGAATGTTTATCTGAAATTAAGTGTTTGGGGAGTGGTTTTTTTTTTCAGTACCCAAATTCCAGGTCTGAGTACCCAACATTGACTAAATTTACAGGTTTTGGCCTTAATAATAGGAACAATGATCCCATGAGCACTGGGCACTGTTTTTCTCTAATTGTTGAATTTCATTATAATACATAGTTTTAATTGGAGGGGTAATATACTAGAATTCTCTAGAATGTAAAGTATTCATTTCCCTTACTAAGATCTTAGGCAAAGCAATAAAATTTCCCTCTATCCAACAAAATAAATACTTAAATATGCTTTCTTTCACTTTTGCCCTGCCCTCTGCCCCAGTTCTCCATCATGTTGACATCATCTAGTTTGCTGGAATTAAATTGTGTTTGATATTTATTCTTTCCTAAAATTGTCTTTGCATTTAAGATAGAGCTTAACTTGTTACCAAATTAAAGTTTCTTTTTTCTCTTTTAACACTCAAAAATAGCACTCTTCAGTAATTTTAATTCAGTGCTGCTGTTTTGCTGTTAAGAAATATGAGATTTATTTAATTTTTATTTCTTCAAACATTGCTTTAGCAGTGCTACTCAAAGTGTAATACAAAGACCAGTAACTACACATAAATTGTTTCTTAACAGTTCTTTATGAGAGAGTACAGAAATAGAGTGTTACAAAACTTTTAGAGAAAATTGACAGCTATTTTTCTCATGTTGAATCTAATAATAAAGTAATTGTCACTTGTAATAGCATATCTTTGTTTTTTATTCATGCCATTTTTTGAGTCTGTGATATATTCTTTTATATATATATATATATATATATCTTGCTTTATAGCAAGAAGAAACACAACAAAACATGAACATGGGTCTTCTCTTTGGATTATTTGAGAAACACAGATTGATGTCATCAGAAACTTTGATTATGGAGACTCATGAAATCTGAGATGCTTGGGTCTCATAATCAGTGGTGCCAGAGACACTCATCAGGACCAGAGTCCTGGAGCTTACCAAGAACAGGCTACTCAGTGTAAGATTGTTTTCTATATCACTATTAAACTTATGCAGATGGGGAGAGCTCCATGGATTTAAGTTTGAAGTAAGGATAGAGAATGGCAGAGAATTTGTCCTGAGTAAAGGAAAAGATGTGCATACCATTAATCATGTTATAGAAAGAAATGTCATTATCTTCATAATCCAAGAAAACCACAATCTTCTGCGGACACTCTTCTGTAAGAGGCTCTTCTAGAAGAACTTTTTGTGAATCACAGGCAAGAGCCCTGAATTCACCTTTCTTCTTCTCTAAGACTCTGAATTTCTTCATTGATGGTTTTTTTAATGGTGCCATCTTTTCTTCGTTTGTTTCATAAACGCCTAGCACCCACTCATCATTGTCCTCGACATCTACCTCCCAATAATATCTCCCTGTTGTGAAACCTTTCCCATCAAGAGTGAGGAGGTTGCAATCTCCTTTATTATCAGCAAGAGGAAGATCCTGTGTTTCCTCTCTGCCATCTTTTTTTCTCTTTGGATCAGAATTGTTCTGGTGAAAAAGTTCATGATTTAGATTCACAGGAGCTGAAAGAAGGAAAAAAAATATCCACCATTGTATCTTTCAGAAAGCTATTGTGCAAGTGAATCCTTAAAGAAACAAAATGTGGAGCTGAAGGAGAAACAGCATCTCTGCTTTGGGTGTGTGTTGGGAGGTGGCTCTGCTCTGACCATGCATTCTAGGTTACTAGATCCATTTTATCTCTTCTGGGTGCACTGGCAGAGTGGCAGGCTGATCCAGGGCTTGCATTGATTACTTGAGAATATTATTATTTCCATGTTCTCTATAATTTAGAACCATGTTCCTCAATTAGCAACAGGTTGCACATAAACTAACCTCTTTTTAAAAAGCAGCTGAATACTCTTGCCATTTTGAACACTTTTTACTTAGGGTCTCCACAGCTGACAGACTATGTTCATTTCTGTTTCCAGGAACAAGTAGATCCCACAAATAAGAAACCTGGGCCAATAGGTGAAGGTGGAAACAACCAGAGTAACTAATTCTAGCAGCAACTTTCAGTTCACCTGAATAACGGTGCCTTTCTCTTTTCAGCTGGAAGATGGTAATGTGAAAAGAAGACAATAGATCAGAGAGCAGGTTAGAAGGGAGACAAAAATATAAAACAAAAGGCACTTACCAGGCTGGAAATATTCCTTTCTCCAATCTGAAAAAGAGTAATGTAAATTGAGCCTGGGAAGAAATGTATCCAGGGAATGAAAAGGAAAAAAATACTTCCCACCCTGGCTCATTATTTTCTCCTCCCAATTCTCCTTACTACATTCACTAATCCTCTCAAATTCTGCTAATATCCAAAAACTAGGACACGTTACTGCTTTCTATACTGCCTCAGTTAGAGACTCTGCCACAATGCAGCCTGGTGCTGAGGGACTAATCTTCTCCCACCTCAGCCAGGTCTGGAGAACACCTGGAGTAGCTTCTCAAGGTATCCAGGCACTGTGATCTGAAGATCTGTGTAACCCCCTCACTGCAGATGGGTCCCATGAAATGTCCTTTTATTCTGTTTTATTTGTTTTTTTCCAGCCTATGACCCTTTCAGAGTAGTGCTTTAGCTTGTGCTTTAGATAGTCCCCTATTATTTTCACCACTGTAGTCAGATTTTTACATTTTTTCTCCAGAATCAGATTCTTCATGTGGAATAGAACTACATTTTTTTTTCTTCCTAGGGTTGCTTCTCTCATAATGAGACTGGTGATTTTATTTATAGATTAGATATATTCATGAATCTTGGGACAATTGACAGGTAAGGACTTATCCATAATTCTTAACAAGTGAAGTACTGTGATTCCCTCATTGAAGTTTCCTCCAGGAAGAAATTTAACACTGTGATATTTAGAACCTATATGCCTCATGAAGAACATCCAACATCGTGTATTCCATCTTCATCATCTTAGAGACAAGGGGATTGAAGTCAAGAAAGAGAATGACCTGATTCCTCAGTTGTAATTGGTAGAGTTGTAACTAAAACTCACATGTCCTCCCCCTTAGTACTTTGTTCTCTCCTTAAATCATAGGAACACTTATTAGGCTGTGTGTGGTGGTCTGATTTCTAGCTTACCTTTACCCCAGTGGACCTTTAATTTAATTTCCGTGAGATCAGAGATAATGGCTTATACCACCAACACATAGCACAATGTTTGGCATATAGAAATTGCACAATAATATGTTAAATGAATGACCTAGCATGTTTACGAAGTCTAACTCAATATTACACTCACAATCACATGTTCACACATACACACACTTGTAAATTCATACAATACATAGACATGGATATTAGAAGTTATAAAATTAGCTAATTCCCCCAATAGCAGATAAACATATTTTTATAAGTGATATTAAAATATTTTGAAAATGATTTTCAAAGTTTTTAAACCTTAGTTTCTATGCATTTTTACTTTATTTTGAATAGGCAAAATAAGTAAAATAATGGTGTGTTTTCTCCAAATTTAAAATGTATTATTTGCTCTTTTAAACATTATTTGCAATATAAAAATGCTGACATATTTGGGTATTCGTTATTCTTCTCAAATCTCATCAAAATCACTCAATTCTAATCCTTCCTTCTCCTAGGTGGGCTGATTAACAATTCATGTCAAATCCTACTCCCGCCAGGTTGCTATGGACTTTACCATTAAAAGTCATTTCTCCTTTTTTCTTAGTTCTAGAAAACAATTATTGGAACCTACAATACAAAGTATCACACATAGGTGCCAAATACATTTTCACAACTTACAAGTACACAGATGTGCATATGTGTATGTGTGTGTGTGTGTGTATTTATTTATTTATTGTACTGAAGATTGAACACTTAACCACTGAGCCACATTCCAAGCCCTTCTTAATTTTTTTTTGAGACAGTTTTCACTAAATTGCTTAGCTCCCTGCTAAATTGCTGAGGCTGACTTTGAATTCATGATGGTCCTGCCTCAGACTCCCAAGTTGCTGGGACGACAGGTGTGTTCCACCATGCCTGGCTCTTTTGTCTCTATTTATCATGCTCATAATAACAGAAGCACTTGGGAAGATTTACTACCCATGATTAACTTACCAGGATATATCAGGGCCTTCTTCCAATCTAAAAAAAGAACAAATCCAAGTAAAATAAGGGTGGGAGGACATTAATCTGTGACCTCACATTTTTTCCCTTTTCTCTTATTTTTCTTCCACTATTCATCCTTCAGTCATTTGGTCTTTTCCTCTAAGGAGAGGGAGCTAAGGAAGTGTTTGTTCTTTTAAACATTATTTGCAATACAAAAAATGCTGCCATAATAGGGTATTCTTTATTCTTCCCAAATCTCATCAAAATCATTCAATTCTATTCCTTCCTTCTCCTAAGTGGATTGATTAACAATTCATGTCAAATCCTACTCCTGACATCTATTGACAGGCATCTGGATTGATTCCATTGGCATTGGGGCCTCAAGTGGTGTGGGAAACACTGTCTCTTACCTTCTCGGTACAATGCCCTTCGTCGTTCTGAAAGAAACGACATTCAGTGAGAGATCCAGAAGAGATGTGGAAAGGGGAAACAAACTTTACAGTAGACATGGGAAGAAGCAAAACTCACCAAGCTCTGCCTTGAGTTTTTCTAAAAGAGAAAAATATAAAATCCATCAAATTGAGTTTAGCTGCTCCTGAGTTTGGGAAGTAGCTATATAAATTAGACTGGGCTTTTGGGGGCCCCATGATTTTTTTTAGTATAACTTTTTTTTATTAGAACTTCCTGGTTATATGTAGTAGTTGGATTTATCCCGAAAAATTCATACATACATGGAAATTGATTTTAGTTCATGATCCCCCCTTGTCCCTCCCTTGTTTCCCTCTCATCCTCTTCTTTCTCCTTCCTCTATTCTATGAGTCTTTCTTTCACTTGTCTATTTAATTTGTATTTGAGTGGTTCTTTAAGTTATTTTATCCTTCCCTCTCCATTTATTTTATTTTATTCTAGTTTCCACATATGAGAGAAAATATTTGCCTTTTGAGTTTTTGAGTTCAGCTAATTTCACTTAGCACAATATTCTCCATTTCTATCCATTTATCTGCAAATGCCCTAATTTCATTCTTTATAATGGCTGAATAGAACTCCATTGAATATATACACCACAATTTCTTAATCCTTTCATCTATTGACAGGCATCTGGGCTGATTCCATAATTTAGCTACTATGAACCTTGCTGCTATGAATATCAATGTGGCTGTGTTGCTGTAGTATGCCAATTTTAGATCTTTGGGGAAAATACCCAGGACTGGGATAGCTTAGTCATATGGTGGTTCCATCCCTAGCTTTTGAGGAATCTCTGAACTGCTTTACAGAGTGGCTGTACTAATGTTTCCATTGATGCAGTCTTACAAACAACACGACTGTTCCTTTCTCCCTACAACCTTGCCAGAATTTATATTCTTGTATATTCAGAATTTGTATTCTTGATCATTTCTATTCTGACTAGAGTAAGATGAAATCTTAGTATCATTTTGATTTGCATTTCCCTGATTGCTAGATATGTTAAACATCTTTTTTTCATATATTTATTGACCTTTTGCATTTCTTCTATTGAGAAGTTTCTGTTTACATCTTTTGAGGGGCCCATAATTTATATGAAGCAATTAGCAAGCATGTGTGTCCAATCTAAACTGATCAGCACTAAGAAAAGTTACATGGGAGGTGCCATAGGGTCACAGAGGAATAAATTCCATACTTCATGGGTGTTTAGGATTGTTTATGTATTTCTAAAGCTTATTCCTGAAGGATAAGTAGGAAGAGAAGCTAAGGAAAGACATTTGCACAAGGAGAAACAGACAGGCTTGGAAACAGGCATGGAAGAGCAGGGTATAGTTTGAGGTTTGAGAAGCCACACTTTAGAGGCCTGATGTTCACTGCCAACTGATTTTCTCATGTGGCTTTCTCCTTTGCACAGGACTCCTAGCCCTGTGGAATTTTTGAAATGCTGTGTTTTCCTTGAAGTCCTTTAATAAACTGTGAATTCCCCATCCACCCTATACTGTAGCTCCTCCATGAACTGATTTTCCCTGCTGCCCCAATTTACCTCGAATCTTAAGTGCCTTTTCCTTGTCATTCCTTATCCGTTGTATTTCCTGAGATTCTTTTTCCTTTTCCTCTATTTCTCTGTCTTTGGCTTGATGTTCTTTCCAACCAATGTAGCTGATCCCAATGAGCAGAAGCACCAGCACAGGGACTGTCCCAGCAAGGGCTGCTTTCCATGGAGACATCCTGGGGAAGAAGGGCTCTGAGAGGAGTATGTAGACACAGTCAGACTGTCCTGGACGAAGCTCTTCCCTCCTTCCTAGGCTCCCTTCCTTGTCCTCCCTTTGATTACCGTACCCTCCTTGGGTTTCACTAACCTGGGAGGAAGATGGAGGACACCTTTTCCTGACCAGAGAGAGGATTTTGGATGGAGCAGGTCACATTGCTCAGGGAGCTGTCTGTGACCACAAGGGATGATTTCACATGGAAGAGCCCATCCCAGTCTTGGGTCTGAGACTCAGAGAGGGATGGTAGCTTGGCTCCTGCCATGTCTTTCCATTGTACCTTGGGGCTTGGGAACCAGCCCCCTGAGGAACACAGCACTTGGATCCCACCTTCCTTGAGTCCTGTCATGTGAACATGAGGGATGGAGCCCAAACCTGAGGAGAGAAGGCATGTATGTAAGGCCTGTGGTCCTTGTGGCTGAGGCCCTGAAGCTGATAGCTGAGTTGTCCTTCACTAGCCTGATGAGAAACCTGGAGCAAAGAGGTCAACATTAGGCTGACATGTGACTCATTTTGGTATGCACTTCCTGCCTTTGCACCGTGCTTGGACTGAAAAAGTTTTGGGGTCATTCTAGGAAGAGAAAAGAATAAGAACAAGTAAAACTAGAAAATAGTTCTAATTTTATTGTTTACTTTTATTTCTTGATTGGGTGAAAGTTAATGTTTCAGGGCATCAATGTTTATTACCAAATAAATTTTCTGGGGTCTTATAGAATGTCAAAGAATGTTCAGAAATGCTAACTTCTTTGATATTTAAAAGCTAATAGAGTACACAAGTCTTATCCTCATTGTATAGTTTAGGAAACTGACTGTCTAAAATCGACATATCGAAGATCCTAAACCACACCAGGTTTGGAATCTAGAGGCCCTCACCTTGCCTTTTGTCTTACATTATCACCTAAGCTACTCACCAAGTTACATACCTATGACATTCAATTCTATAATGGCCTCCTGTGAGATATCACCATCTTGAAAACGACACCGGTACTGGCCATTGTCAGAGGCCTTCACGTGCTGTATCAGCAGGGCCACGTGCCCCTGGCTGATGGAGTCTCCCACCAACTTGGTCCTACCGCGGTACTCCAGCATCTGTTCTCCACTTTGTTCCTGTCCATTCTGGACTACTAGCACAGCTGGGGAGATCTGGGCACGGTACCACCATATGTGCATGTGGGCTGCACTCTGTTCAGGATACAGCTGGCAGGGCAGGGTAACATCCTCCCCAAGCAAGGCCATGATGGGCTCAGCTGGTCCATTCACAGAAAACCCAGATACTACATGGGGATCAGAGACAGATTGGAGAACGAATTAGGGTGGAATGAAAGGAAAAACACATTTTCTTATTTAGGGACTCAAATATATTTCTTCTTTGTATTATTTTCCAAAAAAAGTAAGATATATTTTATTTTATTTTTTTAAAGAGAGAGTGAGAGAGGAGAGAGAGAGAGGAGAGAGAGAGAATTTTTAATATTTATTTTTTAGTTCTCGGCAGACACAACATCTTTGTTGGTATGTGGTGCTGAGGATCGAACCCGGGCTGCACGCATGCCAGGCAGCGCGCTACCGCTTGAGCCACATCCCCAGCCCTATATTTTAAATTTATATATATATAAATTTAAATTTATATATGTATATATATTTATATGTATATATTCACACATATTTAAGTATATACCCTTAATATATATACCTACTCAAGTATATACATTTAAATATAAATCACATCTTTCATACACTAAATTGAATATACATGTGTGTGTGTGTGTGTGTGTGTGTGTGTGTGTGTTTTCTTCAACTGTATTTCCCTCACTCTCTACAAACAGATTACATTAATTTCTCTGGAAGTAACAACTCTTGTTAGATTGACATTTGGAAAGATATATATTTCCTATACATTTCCAAATAGTAACTATTAGTAACTTCTGCAAACTCTATGTCAAAGCTATTTATTGAGAAATAAATGTGGCAAAGTAACTCATCTATTTCTCTCCTTACTCATTCCTTTGTCTTCTAACACTCTGCTTCTGGGAAGGTAAGAAGTCATTTCTGACCCTGAGATTTAGGTTGCTGTATACTGGTACAGTAGATAAATTATCCCAAGATAAAAAGTGGAATTTTAAGGTGAGGTAGGCCTTTTTGTTTTGAGAAATAACAATAAAGGCTTAGAATCACAGAGAATTATTTTAATGAAAATCACTTTCTTGTGCTGGGTGGACTTAGAGGCTTCTAGCTTAGGTATTAAGAGTCAGGCACCTCTTGCTAATAAGGACAGTTGGATTCCTAAAGGAGGAGAGAAGAAGAATGAAAGCCAAAATATGGACCTTGTATGAATGATAAAATATGCTCCTTCCTCAAGTCGCTTCAGCTGTTTGCCTGAAAATTATTTTCTGTAAAAATCTACAATGGCTGAAAGGTAAGTGGTGCTCCCTGGGCAAAACTGACATTGGCAGAGGCCCAACATATTATGGATATTGTGAGCAGTCAGGAATTATGGGCCTACAAATGAAATGTTGTGATCTGGGATGGGATAAGTTCACTAAGGGTAGTTTTATTGATGGCCAGGAAGACTTAGTGCAAAAGGCAAAGGCATATGATTTAGAGCAACTGGCCATGGCCATCTTGTCCCAGAGAGTGTGGTTGTGGCATTCCTGGGCAAAGAGCATTATAGGGGCTTTTGTGCTAGACTGAGGCCACACTCTCTTTTCCATTCTTGCATAAAACCCAGGGTATTATTATAACACAAGGGATATATGTTCATTGCTGCCTGATACCAGGGTGTTGTCATAAAAATTATTTAAGCAATTCAATTTAGGAAAGATTATGTAAGGGACTGGGGTAGTGGCTCAGTGGTAGAGCACTTGCCTAGCATGTGTGAGGCACTGGGTTTGATTCTCAGCATTGAATAAAATAAAGGTCCATTGACAACTAAAAAATATTTTTGTTAGAAAAGAAAAGAGTATTTAACATTATGTGTAGCCACAATGTGGTTAAAAAATCATTGTTCCATATAAATGGGATCGTTATATATCAATTTCTACAAAAAAATGGACTTTCAACCATTTTGGTACACATAATCAGATGTACTTATTTTTAACAGACTATACCATCATATTCAAGATTTTCCTATGTGGGTGCACATTTACATTACTTCCAACTTTTTATTACTACAAACAGTCCTGTAGTAAGTATAACACACAAACACATAGAAAAGCACTTCTATAGAATAATAATAGAATTACTGGGTCAACGAGTACAGACATAAAAATTTTGATATCACCTAACTGACATCAAATTAAGGAGACTGACAAAAATGTTATTCTTGTGATCTCACATGTGGCTTCTCTCTAAACCAAGAGAGTCTGAAAATCTTATCCTGAGAGGTTCTTTCATCTTATGAAAGAGGGACTCATGTCTCAGAGAGAATAAGTGATTTTTCCAAGATTATAATTCAGTAGAGCTCAGGAAACTTGAGTCTAAATTCTGTGTACTCCATCCATCTTTCTTGGCAGTGTGAATATTACAGAGCACAGCTCAACAAACAGACACATCAAAAGCCTAAAGCCTAAAATCACCAATACTCAGCAAAGATTTTGATCAATATTATAGCTCTGAGATTCATAAGGTCTACCCAAAGAAGTAAGGGGCTTTGATATGAGGGAGTTTTCTTGGCCAATGAATGACCAAGTGTTTTTCATTTATGTCACAGGAACCTTTGAAGACAAGCCAATAAATAAAAAGCATGAGGCAAAACACTGACCTGTTGAGCACTGTGTGGACACCAGGAGAAGGAGAGGGAGGAGGGAGCCAGCTGGAGACAAACCTGGAAAACTCACCATCTTAGAGCAGAAGGAAAGGTTCACTGTGACCAGGAGATACTCTGTAGGAGAAGGTGGTGAGAAGATTCTAAGGAAAAACAAAAATAAACAACCCCTCCCCCCCACACACACACACAAAACACCTCCTCTGTTCAAAGACTTAGCTTTATCCACAGATTTTTGACTGTTTCTCCCTCACAGACCTGAATACAAATGCCACCAACTCCCATTTCCTCCCCAGTGGGTTTTCCTTCTCCCTCTTTCTTCTGAAAATCGTTTCCCCAGCAGCTGTAGTAAATAGCAAATCATTCTGGTATTCTCTGTTGACTCTCTTGCTTTTCTGTGGTTCCTCTTCTCCCCAGGTCACTCTTGCAATGGAAAACCCTGAGTTCAATGCTGAGAAACAGTCAGTCACAGAACTATTCCCCTTTGCTAATCTATCTTCAGTCTTCTTGCATTTGTTTCTTTATGTACTTACTTGATTTTTTACTACAAATAGCTCTTGTGTTTTAACTCCCAAGAAGGACATTTTCTCACTATATGTCTCCAAATTCAAGCCCCTCTTTCTTCAGGTTCGTACCCCCCCATGAGACCTATATATCACCACACATTTCTCTCTTACCATCTCAATGAAGCTGATGGACTCCAGGAAGCTCTGGTCCCCTGAGCGGCCTACAAACCTTGTTCCACAGACTGTCTGCACCTGGTTATTCTTGTGGTCAGCACCCAAGCAACAGTTTTCCAAACCATCAATAAAGAGGGAAAATACTCTTATAAAGAGGAACACACAGGGAAGTCAAGAGGAATTGGCTTTCGAGTGCTTCTAAAGTTAGTCTAAAGAGAAAATCATAGTCCATCGCCAGCTTCTCAGTTACTTTGAAAGTGAAAGTAATAAAACTCACTTCAGGGACTTTGGAGTGGGTTGAGCTATAGGAACTAGAACTTGTGCCTTTGTTGAAAATGCTCAGTGTACTTCCTTCTTCCACGTGCATAATTCTGAAAGCACAGTTTTCAAGAAGGAATTATCCTGTGTGTGACATTCAGATCTGTGGTTCATCAATGATTATCTCACAAAGTTAATTGATTAATAAGTAAAACCAAAAGAAAAATACTTCTTACCATACCATAATTGACTTTGGAGGGTATACTCAGAGCTTCCAGAGGAAAGTCAGAGCTCAGAAATGGAGATCTCTGTGCTTTAAGAAACTTAGGGATCCCAATAAAAGAATAAAAGTGATAACAAAATTACAGTGATAACACAAGTACAGTGTTGAATGTAGGATGTGCTCAAAAGAAGTTTTCTTTCCATTTTATCTTTCCAAGTTTAATTCACATTTCTTCATATCATCAAGGATTACAGATAATCAGAAACACAGATAGCAATTGCATAAATACTAGTGTTAAGCCACTAATAGTCCTCCCAAAGTTATACCACAATCTTAAATAAACTCTCTTTTTATCTTTTATTGATTTTATTATTTTTTAAAATACATGACATCAGTGAAATGCATTAAAATTCTTATTATACATATAGAGCACAATTTTTCATAATTCTGTATATAAAGTATGTTGACACCCAATTCAAGTCTTCACACATGTACTTTGTATAATGATGTCCCAGTGAGGTACTTTGGGCATTTTATGAAATCAAATTCATACATATGTAATTTGCATACAATGGATGAAAATGCATGGTTTTTGTTCAGATTTCAAAAATGCTTACACTAATGAAACCACCATCTTGATCAAAATATGGAGCATTTCTTTCTCTTGAAAATTTCCCTCATGTTTGCTGTCAATCAATGTAACTCTGAAGAAACAAACATTCTGATACAAATTATGATACAAATCACGGTAACTTTGTCTTGCCTAAAACTTCAAAAATAACAAAATAGGAGCAATACATATGTGTGCTTTTGTATTTGACTTTTTTGGCAAAACAAAATGTTTTTTGAGATTCAATAATGTTGTGTATATCAGTATTTTGTTTGTATTTATTGCTGCATAACATTGCATTGTATAGATATCCTATCATTTATTCCTTTACAGGTCTCTTCAGGGTTGCTTTCCCTCCTGATTCATAGCCTCCTCCCTCAATTTAGGTACTTTCATATCACACTAGGTAGCCCTCCTCCCCAAGGCTACCCTGTCTCCCTTGGCTTCTGAAACCACACCTAACAGTTTTATCTCTGAAATACAGAGCAATTCAAAGGGAAAACTGAAGGAGTTAATACATTATTTACCTCCTGTTTGTTTTGAAATGTATAATGAATGTCTATGTGCATATTCTATTCCAAAATGTAAGAAAAATAATACATTTTTCCAACAAAGATGAAAAATGAACTTGAAAAACTCATATTCAAATGTTAGAAATTTTCTCCAATAATGGGGAACTAGGTAAAATTGAGTTATCTGTGGGGAATATTGAGGGAATTACCCTGAGTACCTACGTATCCAATGTTTGTGTATTTTAGAGAGAAAGATGTGGAAGAAGAGCAAGATAGAAGAAAAAAAATCTACAAATTTTTATTGATTTCAAAAATCAGCAGTTTTAAAAAACAGCATGAATAGATTTTTTTTCCTATTTGTTTAAGAAATATGGAATAATAGACTTCTAAGCCAAAAAAATGATATTTATTTCTGGGAGGTGAAAATATGGTGTTTCTTCCTGTAATTTTACTTATCTCTAATTTTCAGATTTTTCTAACACAAAAATTAAAGAATAATGAGTATAAAACAGATTTTTACATATATTCAAATGTGAATGTTCCAGTGCAGTTGTCTATCAGGGAGAGTTTGAGTCTGATTTAAAATTTTAAATTGTTTTCCAGAAGCATAATGACACCATCTATACCCATGTCAAAACCCTTTGTGGAAAAGTAAACCCAATAAGATTAGATATTTAAACAAGTTTTAAAAGGACTACTTGAAATGAATAAATATTTAGGTATTTACTTATATAGGCAGACCTGGAAAAGCTTTGCTATTCTAAGCCCAGTGGAGGAGGGGGTTAGATGAGCTATTGTGTCTACTAACCAATCTTAATTGCTTTAAAAGGATTTCTGTTAACCAAATGCTATGAGAAATTGTTGGATCTTACCAAGTCATGAAGTAAATATTTGATATAGCATAGTTATACTATTTAAAACCTCTGTAGCTTTGCTTATCCATTCTGTAATGATACTATTAATTTCTGCTTAATTGTGATTTTAAATTTCTTTTTGAGTTCCCAGTTGATTACATTTTTGCATTCTGCTGTTATTTCCAGTTATCTGTTCTTAATGAATATCTATGTTTTAAAGGGAAATCTTGTTACTTTGAATGCTTTATAAAATTTATTTTAATTTTAAAATTAATGTTATTCCACATATGATTTTGTTAGAATATGTCTAGTTTGTACTTATTTCATATTTTGCTAAGTCTCTCTCTCTCTCTCTTTTTTTAAAAAAAAAAAAAAAAGGAAAAAGAAGTTTTATTACCTGGCTAGCAAAGGAGAAACACAGGGGACTCCTGTCCCAGAGATTGTGATTCTTTGCTAATCTCTTATAAACTATTTATAGATATTCAATCTTAGATCCAGAATTTTAAATTACCCTGAGTACATACATAATGTATGTAAATAGAGCTGTTTTTATTTTTCTTTCTTTCTTGCTTGCTTCCTTCCTTCCTTCCTTCCTTCCTTCCTTCCTTCCTTCCTTGCAATACTGTGAATTGAACTGTGGGACACTTTACCACTGCACTATATCCATAGCCTTTTTTATTTTTTATTTTCAGACAGAGTTTCATTGAGTTGCCAAGGCTGTACTTGAAATTGTGATTTTCCTGCTTCAACTTCCCAGATATCTAGGATTATAGGCATGTGCCATTCTACCCAAGGAGCTTTCTTGATTATTTCAGAAATGAATCAAGAAATTATTTCTTGATTATTTCTGTCATAAAAAGAAGGAAGAAAAACATTATTTTAGAGTTCATAGGATTTGAAGGATTACAAAACAAAAATGAATTTTAGAGACAGAGGAAAGCAATTTCATCCTTACCTTTTCTCATTGTCCACAGCATGGAAGGAAGATGAAAGGGTTCAGAAAATATTTGGGGGGCTATTATTAATGTTTATTATTATTTTACCTGGTTGAGGTGGATTAACAGATGTCAGTGGAGGAATTTTTATGCCTGGGAGGAGAGTCAGAAATTTGGACTGTGTCTGTCTTTTCAATTCTATAATGAAATGAGGTTCCTAAAAGGTAGATGAAAATTTATCACCAGAATGCCAAATATATTCATGTGAATTGAGCTGGACTTTTTAGTAATTCATGTAATCCTCATTAAAAACTGAGGGTATGTATTGTTACTGAATTATTATCAGATGAGGAAACTGAGGCCCAAAATCATAATCAGGATTTTTAACTAAGGGGGCCAAGTTCTATTAATATAAATCATGTATTACTCAAAAAGGGGAAATCAGTTGTTCTGGATTCTCTCTATACCTTGCAAATATGTATTTATTAGATTATCCTACAGAGTTGTTCCTAGTGATTAGTTCCTTGGAATACACTGTGACCATGCTCCCCTGCTGTGTCCCCAGAAATGAGTGTGAAGAACATGGAGCTACGGTGATTTCACTCCCAGTTCTTAGTGGCTGTGCACATCTATCAAGATGGAATGCAGCAGGCAGGAGAACGACTAGTAGATTTCAGAGGGAGGGCAGAATTGGTGAAGTATTGCATATCTAGGGAAGAGTAGCTTTGAGAATCTACATTCTCCAGGTCTTCCCTGACCCTTTTTTTAAGGCAATCATTTTAAGGAAGCCATCTTGGAGCTAAATGTAATAGGTGAATGATTATCTGAAAATACAGACCACTCTCAGAGGAATGCAAGTATTCTGTATTTGATTTGGAGGGGATGATAGTGAACAGGACAGAGAAGCAGGTATGTTTCGAGCTGATCAACATCCTAGACACTGAATTTAACCCCAAGGGCTCTTGATCTATTTACACATTTGTTTTGATGTACTTTATTTTTCTTAGGGTAGCAAATAATATTTTATTAATTTGGGAAA